TTGGGTCTTCTGATTAAAACAAAAATAGCCTACCCGGGTTGGACATTTGCCGCTTGCATTCGGATTTCAAGCACATAACGAGAAAAACGGACCTACCATGTGATCCTTTGCAGGTCAGCTGCCTTCTGTTTCTTTCTACTCTTCGTTACTTTCTTTGCAACCCCGTTTTGCCCGAATCATCGATACTGGACAAAAATCTGTGGCGCACAGTGAACACAGCGGAGATAGGAAAATGTTCAAAATGGTAATACTGATGACTGTCACACACAAATATTGTGGTGGATAACGGATAAACTCTCGCTCAGCCGATGATGCGCTAATTGTGAACCTTGGTAGAGAGGATATTCCCTGCTGCATGACTCATTGCAGTTTTAAACTGCGCGTGCGCGCGCGCACACACACACACACACACACACACGCAGTAGACAGCTTTGCTGAGTGGTCAACAGTGACACAAGAAATGCTGTTAATTCACAGGTGTCAATTGGTGTCCGACGATACTTTTAAAACTACAAAGCTGCCTACGACACGGACAGCGTGCCGCAAGGGTTCCAAACTGTGGAAAGTTCCACGCCCATCTTTTGATAAGCAAGTCAGCCCCTGCATGTTCACATCCATAATGATGTGGTGTCCCAACATGAAGTAGCCTACTTTGAACTACACATACATTTTATCATGCCACTGACCGTCACTACCTGTTACTGCTACACATGATACATGCAACCTATGTCTTCAGTCCCACCAAGAGTGCATAACTCCCAAGAGTGCATAACCCCCAAGAGTGCATAACCCCCAAGAGTGCATAACCCCCAAGAGTGCATAACCCCCAAGAGTGTGCAGCTGCCTGCACAACCTCTATGCTGCGCTGCGACGGCAGAACTTCACATCACGTGACATGGTTCAAAAGGTTACGCTGGCAAACAGTGCAAAGTGACCACAAGAGAGCTGAGACCAAAGCTGGGTTGCGGACAACCCTGTATCAATCATGCACAGAGTGCAACTAATGTGTACGGGTTCATCACGTGATGTGAAATTCTGCCGTCGCAGACCCCATAGCTGGAGTTGCACACTCTTGGGGGGGGGGGGGTTATGTACTCTTGGTCCCACTGGCTTGTCTTCATCGCTCTCAACCGCCTTGAAACTGAATTGTAAGGAAAGACAGCATCTTGTTTTGTTGTGATTGCATTCAGAACGCACTTGCGTCGATCCCCAAAGTGAGTAGATGTACCTGGGATAAGTGGGATATTCGGACCCGCATACTCGGGTGTTACCGTACCGCCTCATAGCAATTCCTTCTGCTTTGCAGGCGGGGTTGATATTCGAGAGGTATCACCCTCGTACTTGCGTAATATTCTCTACTTATGGTTGGAATACCATTGCGATGGATAGATGCGATTCGGCACGAAGTGAAGGCAGCGGATCTCTTCGTGGAGAGCACTCTCCAAGCTGCAGGAGATAGGCTAACTTGGCTCGACACTGTTGACAGATGCGTCGACCCTGCTTCTGTCTAACAGGTTCAGGGAAGATGCGAGCAGTGTGTATTATTATGGTTGGAAGATCAGTGAAAAAACGATAAAGGACCGTACTGAGCAGGTGTATGTCTTAACCCGGGTACGCACTAAGTGAGTTCCACTGTACTTTAGAATACAGGCGACTACTTATACCAACGCATATGGCCGATTGGTTTGCAGGCCTGCCTGCGAATCATGAGGTCCCGAGTTCAAGACCTGCGCTGGTAGCAGGGAGCGTGTGAAAAGACTTTATACGCGTGTTGAACTGCGTCGACACCCACGGTCAACTGGGTACTCACAGCTAGCCCTTTCCCAAAGGTGCTCTTTTAATTCGCACTTAGTGCTTTTCGCGTCCCTCAAAATAATTATGCTGAAAAAGTGCTCTTTTTCAGTGAAAACAGGCAAAAAGTGCTCTTTTTTTCAGTGAAGCATAGCCATGATACATGTTCAGATATGAACCTAAGCTGAGAAATGAATACGCACTCTTCCATTTATGGGTCCACGAAAGGCAAAACAGGAAGTAAAGTTCAAAAACCCATTTTTTACAGCATTGTGTACACCTGGTACACCGGGTACAAGCTTCACCAACTTGTTGCCCCCCAAAAAAGCGGCTTGCCAAGGCCCATCAAGCACTCGGAAACTGTGATCGCATGCATGCGCAAACAGATTTTAGCACTTTTCAGCTAAAAAAGCTCAAAAAAGGCGATATTCACCAACAAACGCAATAAAGGGCGAAAGAAACGGGCTTTTCCAAAAGGGCCAAAAAGGGCGAAAAAAGGGCGAGCACCTTTGGGAAAGGGCTACTCACAGCTCGGAGTGAGAATAACAAGGATGCAGTTTACAGGGTTATGGGCCGTTACACGCCCGATTGGTTGAGAGACTAACCTCCTCTCCCCGGGCTCACTTGTGAGGTCTGCATTCGCCACTAAGGTTAACAGGCATAGTGGTGGCCTGCGGATGCGAAGGCTAGTTTGTTTGTTTCTGAACATTCAAGCGATGCCGCCGCGGATCCCGCGAATATTATTACTTTATAATACAGCCGAGGTCCACCATCTTCTTTATTTATTTTTATTTATTTTTTACTAGGAACAAAGCCCTACCAAAAGACATGTGGAGACAAACACAAAACAAGACGCAATGGATGTAGGGACGGCGTGCCGATGTACGGGGAGAAAATCGACTTACCAGAGGTCTCCCCAGTATAATGTGAAACTGGATGCCACTCACCTTAGCTTTGCAATTTTCCGGAGCTCCACAGGAAAGGTGACCGCGAAGCGTTCCAAGAACGTCTCCCTTGGGCAATGCGCTACGGGAATCAGCAGCGCGTCTTGCGCTGTGTGTTCATCATGATTGTATCGATGTGACACGAGACTGGACCTGGCCAGTCTGGTTTGCACTGCGGAGTTGTAGCTCGCCCATGAGGTATCTCTTGGTCCTCGAACCACCCTGCATGCCTCGGTCGAGCAAGTAGTATCCATGACGGATAACCGGCGGTGTCGAGCCAGCTAACGTTTCAAACGAGCCGCGCGACAGTAGTAAGCAGCGGAAGTCGAGAACACACCTGTATCATCCATATTCAACCGACATACAGTGTGCTTGCTGGTGGGGCGGCACGAACAACTAATTACTTCCTTTGCTGCAGAAGCTCTGCTATCATTCTTTTGGCCTACACTACAGGCTCAGCGCACCCTGCCTGAGGCTTGACCAGAGTCAGCCGAAATACAAGCGTTGCATGGGATGTCCAGTCTTCTCAGTACTACAGTAGGTTCCAAAGAAGACTGCCGTGGCATGGCCATATGTGGCTGTACAAGACCTCCATCATTGTCGTGATGTCCATTCTCCGAACCGCCAGAACCGCCACAAGTAGTCGTCGGTCGACCCTCACGCAAGTCAAGTTAGTTCTTCTCTTTCTGTCGTTCTGTCGTTGGACGAATATTTCCGACGGGATGCACGTTCGCCAACATCCATTTCCCATCCACACGGACCCTGTGGTTGTCATTTTCCAACCTGGTGGCAGCTGCCGAGGTTCGCTGCAGGACAAGTGAGCTGGACTCGTCGGCACGTCGAAAGCGGAGGTGAGCGGCTTCGCAAAGACAAACTACACATTATACCTGTTCTCATTATTGTCGACGATGTGCATGTCGTTCGCTGATACGGTCACCACCGGAGAGTCGTGTTGTGTGAAAGCCCTTCACGACTCTCTGGTCATCACCAGGGAGTCGTAGAAAGATACGACTCCCTGGTCATCACCATCATCGACATCATGGCAACACGCCAACAGACCAGTGGCACAGCGCTAGTAGTAAACATATTCTTCTAAATGTAGTAGAGTGCTGCGTGTGGAATCCAACCGCGTGAATCAAGTAAGTAACGCGCCCTGCACCTCCAACCAGCTCCCGGGATCCGCAGGTCTTGGGCAGCACAGCACCCAGCGCGGCATTCGCTTGATCAGTAGTACAATCATGACTGTAGTGTAGTACTAGTAGTAGTGCCTGCATCAATTTTGGGAAAACCACAATACAGAGAATGCCAAAACCATTAGCCTGATTAGGCATTACCAAAATCCAGTAGTCAGGTAGTGTGAAACTGCTGCTTGTTACTGCTGCTGCTTGCTGTCCATCTAAATTGTCATGGTCCAAGTACAGTGCTGGTTTACCAAGGCGTTCGGTTTTGCACGATTCTTGTTCGCATAGCTTCCTGATCTTCGCATCTTTGAGCCACACGAGTAACAGTTGTGTGGAAAGTTGCTTTGCGTCCTTGAATCGTGGTTTGACCGTATTATATTGTCCAATGGTCTTGGCAGTATCGTCATCCACATGCATGTACTATTATAAGTGTCCACTGTTATTACATGCTCCCATCATACGACTATGTAAAAATACAAGGCAATTTTTTCTAAGTGAATGCATGCTTGCTTGCTGCTCTTTAAAAAAAAAACAGGATCAAAATCTGTCCAAATTTGAGAGAGAAAATGGAAAATTGATTTTTTTACCTCGCTTTGCTGGCTGATTTCTGTGCGCCGCTGCTTTGTCTTTGAAGAAGTCATGCACCTTATTGTTCATCTCAACGCATCCACGTGGGGTGTTCCCCTGTCAGGCTGGCGCTGGCCTACATGTAGAATCCATGGGGCATACACAATGCCAATGGCCCTTTGACTGGATGGAAAAGAGGGCACACTTCTAGTAAATGGACTGTAGTCTAGTACTTCCGCCAACGTCCTTCACAGCTGAAACTTTCAGCTCGTGCTTGTCTTGGTTGCGCTCACCTGCCCCTCCCATGTTATCATTATAACTTAGAACCTTCCAAGTTGGAAGGCTGTTGGAGTGCGCATCCAAGATGTGCTAGAGCTGATAGCCAGTTGAGTGCGCATCCAAGATGTGCTAGAGCTGATAGCCAGTTAGTTTGTAGAACGTCAGTACCGTCGGTCAGTGTCGTGCAATGTTATCGCATGAGCTGATTATTTAGTAACTGGTGGTGTTAGTGTTGTTGTTGTTGTTGTTGTTGTTGTTGTTGTTGTTGTTGTTGTTGTTGTTGTTGTTGTTGTTGTTGTTGTTGTTGTTGTTGTTGTTGTTGTTGTTGTTGTTGTTGTTGTTGTTGTTGTTGTTGTTGTTGTTGTTGTTGTTGTTGTTGTTGTTGTTGTTGTTGTTGTTGTTGTTGTTGTTGTTGTTGTTGTTGTTGTTGTTGTTGTTGTTGTTGTTGTTGTTGTTGTTGTTGTTGTTGTTGTTGTTGTTGTTGTTGTTGTTGTTGTTGTTGTTGTTGTTGTTGTTGTTGTTGTTGTTGTTGTTGTTGTTGTTGTTGTTGTTGTTGTTGTTGTTGTTGTTGTTGTTGTTGTTGTTGTTGTTGTTGTTGTTGTTGTTGTTGTTGTTGTTGTTGTTGTTGTTGTTGTTGTTGTTGTTGTTGTTGTTGTTGTTGTTGTTGTTGTTGTTGTTGTTGTTGTTGTTGTTGTTGTTGTTGTTGTTGTTGTTGTTGTTGTTGTTGTTGTTGTTGTTGTTGTTGTTGTTGTTGTTGTTGTTGTTGTTGTTGTTGTTGTTGTTGTTGTTGTTGTTGTTGTTGTTGTTGTTGTTGTTGTTGTTGTTGTTGTTGTTGTTGTTGTTGTTGTTGTTGTTGTTGTTGTTGTTGTTGTTGTTGTTGTTGTTGTTGTTGTTGTTGTTGTTGTTGTTGTTGTTGTTGTTGTTGTTGTTGTTGTTGTTGTTGTTGTTGTTGTTGTTGTTGTTGTTGTTGTTGTTGTTGTTGTTGTTGTTGTTGTTGTTGTTGTTGTTGTTGTTGTTGTTGTTGTTGTTGTTGTTGTTGTTGTTGTTGTTGTTGTTGTTGTTGTTGTTGTTGTTGTTGTTGTTGTTGTTGTTGTTGTTGTTGTTGTTGTTGTTGTTGTTGTTGTTGTTGTTGTTGTTGTTGTTGTTGTTGTTGTTGTTGTTGTTGTTGTTGTTGTTGTTGTTGTTGTTGTTGTTGTTGTTGTTGTTGTTGTTGTTGTTGTTGTTGTTGTTGTTGTTGTTGTTGTTGTTGTTGTTGTTGTTGTTGTTGTTGTTGTTGTTGTTGTTGTTGTTGTTGTTGTTGTTGTTGTTGTTGTTGTTGTTGTTGTTGTTGTTGTTGTTGTTGTTGTTGTTGTTGTTGTTGTTGTTGTTGTTGTTGTTGTTGTTGTTGTTGTTGTTGTTGTTGTTGTTGTTGTTGTTGTTGTTGTTGTTGTTGTTGTTGTTGTTGTTGTTGTTGTTGTTGTTGTTGTTGTTGTTGTTGTTGTTGTTGTTGTTGTTGTTGTTGTTGTTGTTGTTGTTGTTGTTGTTGTTGTTGTTGTTGTTGTTGTTGTTGTTGTTGTTGTTGTTGTTGTTGTTGTTGTTGTTGTTGTTGTTGTTGTTGTTGTTGTTGTTGTTGTTGTTGTTGTTGTTGTTGTTGTTGTTGTTGTTGTTGTTGTTGTTGTTGTTGTTGTTGTTGTTGTTGTTGTTGTTGTTGTTGTTGTTGTTGTTGTTGTTGTTGTTGTTGTTGTTGTTGTTGTTGTTGTTGTTGTTGTTGTTGTTGTTGTTGTTGTTGTTGTTGTTGTTGTGGTTGTTGTGGTTGTTGTGGTTGTTGTGGTTGTTGTGGCTGTGGTTGTGGTTGTGGTGGTGGTGGTTGTGGTTGTGGTTGTGGTTGTTGTTGTGGTTGTGGTTGTTGTTGTTGTTGTTGTTGTTGTTGTTGTTGGTGTTGTTGTTGTTGTTGTTGTTGTTGTTGTTGTTTCTGTATTTTTTTCTTCACCATATGAACAGGCAAGACTGCCTTCTCACCGGGGCTATTGGCCCACGGCTCTCACAATATGATGACAATGTTTAAAATGTGTATGAAGAAGAAAGGAACGGAAAAGAAGATAATGGACTTTCTAGCGTAACTTGCAGTTCCTTGGTCCTTTTTCTTTTCTCTAAATTTATCCTTGGCTCTCCATCCGAGTCCATTCCAGTAAAAGAACCCGAAATTCATTTTAACAATGTCAATCGGCTGTTATCAAAGATCACTTGCAAACCCACAAAATATGCAGCTTCTTACCGTATTACCGTATTACTCATTGGTTTGAGGAAACGATGAAAACTGGAAAAGTCTGAAGTAAAAGTGACTGTCACCACCAGGACTCGAACCAGGGTCCTTGGCTTGAGGCCATACCAGCGATGCTCTAACCACAGAGCTACATGTACATCCCGTATTGTGTATAGCTGTCAAGCCTGTCATACCATCAGAGACCGTTCAACATTTCCTTCAGACTTCGAAACTCACGAAAACCGTTGCTTGCTGAAGGCTCAACTATTGTATCAGCCAGTTTGATGCCTCTGGCTCGCTGGCAACACCCAGAAGCTTCCTCTGTGAGAAACTCACGTGGGCCTCGAATTTTCAATACACGTATAACTATTGGCCGCAAGATGTGCTCTCCGGGTTCGCACACTCCCCAGTAACCCTTGGCGGCCCATATATGGCGGGTATTTCCGGGAGAAACAGTGGAAGAATTTGGTAATTTTTCTGGTACATGAAATTTCATACGTGTTGTTAGTTTGACAGCATGAAACAAGGTGGAGGACACTGTGTTCGGAAACCGTGACCTTGCTACAACCATCCACGGTCGGTAGAGCCCCGGTCCGTTGGGACCATCGGAACCTTATGGGTGTTGAACCCAGTTCTGTACAACATGTGTGAACTATGACAAGGTTTATCTAATACTAGTATTGAACTAGTATTGGGTTATGATTATATAATGGAATTTCATGCAAGTTTGGTACGTGGATAAAGAAATGAATCAGTATTCAAGGAAGTGCCTGCCGTAAGGTTTGTATGGTTCTGCCAATTATTTCACTGCCCCAAGTTGTAAGGATTATCCACCATAGGCTAATACGACCTACATGTATTGTCATACAAAGATTACACAGCACTGAAGCAAACAAATCTCTTTCCGCTGTTACTCGGACTCTTGGTCATATGCGGTCTGATGAGTGTTATCACACGAGACTCCGAGTAGCAGCGTAAAGAGATTTGTTTGCTTCATTGCTGTGTAATATTTGTATTACTTGCTCTGTCCACTGAACATTGAGTACTGTAAGCAGCCTGAGGACTTTAGACAACTGTGTATTGTTACACATATAATATTTTATTTAATAGGCTAATACGACCTATTGTCACACAGAGATAGAATTCAATCATTCTTCAATCTTCATGCTATTGATCATTCAATGGGTGGATGTCACTGTCCAGTCAAGTGGTATGTGCCAGCCGGCCAAGGACGTTGAAACTCTCGGATGAAACCTAGCAGTTGACGGCAGGTCCATTTGCAGTGGTTGGTAAGTTGGTAGCTGACTTTAAATCCGTGATTCGATATACATGTACATGTACATCATTTCTTGATGGCAAGGAGGTGAGACAACAAGAGCAATGTGATGACTGCACAGTGACACAAGCAGGCCATGCCATGCCATGAACTTGCGAACACGCCAGTGATATGTGGTGATGACTGCAGGAGTTAGGCATATGCGGATAATGCCGGCAGAAAAATTGGCAGAATTCGGTACTTCTTCTGGTAAGTTTCATGCATATTTGGTATGTGGATAAAGAAATGGAGCAGAATTCGAGGAATTGCCCGCCATAAGGTTTGTATGGTTCGGCCAATTTCATTGCTTTTACCAGAAAAAGTACCGAATTCTGCCAATTTTTCAGCCGACATTATCCGCAAAGGCCTTTAAACACTGTGTACTAATACTAGGGATGCATCAGGGGAGTGGATTTAAAATCAGTCCACACCAAGGAATGCAATACAGTCATGTAGATCTACATGTACATGTAGATGTGTGCAGAGCTCGGATATCATATGTAGCGATTGAGACTCCCTCGATTTAGGCTCAGGCCTGTGGAGAGTTCATAAAATGCAAATTCAAGTTTCTTGTCGATTGAAGAAACCTTTACAAAGCCTTATGATAGTACAAGCCCTGGTCTTGAAATTAGGGACTGAGAAAAGGGCTAAGCAGGTCATTCACAACAATTCCACCAGGGTTCAGCTTCTCAGGGGAGACAAAAGCAATTCACCGAGCAAGCGCTCCTGCGTTGCGTGCGTGCGTAAAGGGACAAAACCTGAAATATGCTACCGTTCGACGAGCACACCTGTCACGTCCCAGAAAGCCTGCCGACACCATCCATTCGACATAGGGCTTCGCCGTGTCGTGATCAATACTCAAAGCGCGAGTTCCAATGTCGGGAGTAAGCGAATTTCTGAACCGGCAGATGTCCACTTGGACATTGATAGCATCAAGAGTACAATAACCATGGTTTTGTAGAATGTGTACTCTTGACAGCATTTTAGAAGCGTTGTGCAGCGTTTCCTGGACCTGCATCGGCATTACTTGGGTTAGTGACACCGAGTGGCAGTGTGCACTGGTCTGTCCTGTTTAACCATGTGTAAGGTGGCGATGCGGCTTCTCGAGGACGAACCGGGCAGCACTGGACACGACCTAATCAAAGTGTCGGAAGTAGTTTGTCGCTGCCACGGCTTTCACTTCAGCCTGTAGCCGGACAACGAAGCATGTCGTGACGATTGAGTTCTGCGTTCCATGGCCTTTTCGACCTCCAGATTTCCTGTTTTCTCGCGCGAGCCTGAGATTAAAATTATTTTGTCTTGGGCCACATTTTACCATCGACACTCTTGGTAACACCGTCATGGTAATACATGTACTAGTATTGGTGATATTTCTCCCACTCGGCAACAGATGTGGTAACGGGAACGGCAGCGATTTTATCATCGCTACTCTACCCTGATACAACAAACAGCACCGCCGCACCAAAACGGACTCAGCGCAGCTGCAAGCCAAGACTACGGACAGTGGCCGCACCGCGCTTCAATGCCGGAACTTGATTATGTGATTATCCGACAATCTCTATGGAGTATGGAGCGAGATCCGGCAACCTTGCTATAAAAGCACGTCGCCCTCAGGATCTGATTGTTATAAGAGAACTGCAGAGAAGTCACTTCCCTATTCCGTGCAAATCCAGGTTGTTAGGGAGAAAGAACGCGAACTTACTTTTCACAAACGTGTGCGTGTGGCCTACTTAATTGGCTGAGCTGAGGTACGGCAGGATTACCAGCGAGGCTCACACGTACCCTCTCCAAGAAAGATCAAAACAACAAGGGATCGGTACTGACAACTGACACGACCCACCTAACTCTGAGTGGCTGATACCCAGCCCCTATCGCTGGCGTGTTCCTCCGAAAAACCTACTACTACTTGGTTTCAAGTAAAAATTCCCCTAGGTGAAAATCGTCGACCGTAAACCGTGCAAAGCCTGGCGAAATGGCTCAAGACCCGTGTACATGGGCTCGTGTGTTACGGAGTGTGGAGGCGATGGTGGCGGTGCTAGACGGCTCTGATATCGCCGCCACTCCCCCTGCCCTGGCGTCAGCACGGTTGCGGTCACCCACTGCGTCAGCCGACAGGGTTAAAACAAGGCCAGCAGCCGTGACTGTGCACAGAGGCCAACAACGCCCCGAGCGGAAACAATGCCACCTGTCACCAAGCAAAATGGACGCAGACGGAGCAGCAGCAGGCCTGCGTAAGGTTGCGGCATCTCGGACTGGAGCAGAACCGCGGACGCTGCCATCGCTGCCAAGGACCCTGCAGAAGAGTCGGCGACCGGTTCGGAGCAGGCACATGTCATCTGGCCAACTCGTCACGTTACTGGTAAGCCTACTAAGTCTTGTAGAAGTGAACGATGTTCCGCTATTTCCGCCCTGTCCCCAGTTGTCCGTTGATGGTGTCTGCACTCTGCAACCATAATAATAATTAGTGGCGCCCCGGTCATAGTTCAGCAAGAAAAATGTTTGAAGAAAAGCACAAACATGTTCACAGTGAGCAGCCTTTTATTACGCAATTGCTAGTTGGCCCAAAACGGAGTACAGCACCGTGCACAGCCACTCGCACTAGATAGTAGATGTCACACACTTATAAGTATTAGTTACACATCACACTTGCTTCGCACTTCACACGGCCAAGTTCGACTCTTTCGAGCTTTTGCACCAGGCGCTAGACTTGGGACTCTATCTGACCGTTTGACCTTCGAAACGCAAAACCTCAATATGTACCTCAATATGCACAGCAATGACGTACTTCAAAAACTTCCAGAGGCTGCAAAGACTCAGCAGGTACTAGGTACTAGACCCAAGTGCGCCACAGAAGCTCACAAGTCACAACGCGTTAACGAAGGACTATCATTACGTCATAATTATGCAGTAAAACCTGTGACTAACGACCACCCTTTGGGGCCAGAGAAAGCGGTGTTAAATTTTAGTGGCAGGTGGTCCCTAGTTAGAGGTTTGCACCGCACAACCGTAATGAATGTGAGACCGTCCGTGCCTGGCGAAGTGGTCTGTAGACAAGTGTACAATCATTATACTGTAGTATCAAGCTGGTCGCTAGTCACGGTGGTCCTAGGGACCGGCGGATTCTGCTCGAAAAGGTGGCAGATTCTGCTCGAAAAGCAGTGAAATTGGCAGTACCATACAAACCTTATGGCGGGTAATTCCTCGAAGTCTGCTCCATTTTTTTATCCACATACCAAACATGCATGACACTTACCAGAAAAAGTACCGAATTTTTTTGGCAGAAATAAGACTATGCCTCACTGTCACTGAAGGTGATCTTTGCTTTGCTTTTCTCGCTGCGGCACTAGTACATCTGCTTCATTGAGAGTGTATTTGAGACCTGGTGCCGCATTTCACTGACTGAGAGGTGATCGGCAGGACCGCAGGGTCCACTGTACCCAAGCAGAGTTACACAATGTTTATGAACGCTGTCCGCATGTTGATCCAATGCAAATGAAAAAGAAGCGAAGCCACATGAGAACGTAACAGAACATAATAGTATAAAGAATAGGCGACAAGGAGACAATAACTTGTATAGCGATGAATAGTGTTTCTGACGTAGTCCTTACGAAAAAACAGAGAGAATAATAATATTATGGGAAATCTAAATGCAAATTTCCTAATCGATTTTCATGAGACATTCATCATTGGAAAGTCGCGTCAACAACAGAAGCTATGCGGGGAAACAACTACTTATACATGTATGTCTGGATGATAGTGCGAATAGGATAGTGCGTAGTATAAAGGTGAGGTGTGAAAAACAAAACAAAAACTGGGAGAGAATATGCATGTAAAGGTTGCTGGAGTTGAAACGGGAAATCTCTGAAGAAAGAATTGACTGCCACCACCGGGACTCGAACCCTCGTCAGCGATGTTCTACGACTAGAGAGCTACAGTAAAACCTGGTTTAAGCGACCACCCCACGGTGCAAGCAAAGCCAGGCAGTCGTTAAAGCCAGGTGGTCTTTAGAACCAGGTCCCACAGTGTCTGTGTAGAACTGTCGATGCAGGGGAAAACGGTCGTTAAGAGCAGGTGGTCGCTAAACACAGAGGTCGCTTACACCAGGTTTTACTGTATAGTGTAGTCATCATCCCAGCAGCACAGCATGAGAGATTCATGTTTTTTTACTGAACGTTTTTGAACTTTTCTAAAACCTCGCAGACTCCACGATGCAAAATTTAACTCGGACACAGAGCCAATAATAGATTGTAAAATGGAAGAAAACACGTGGAAACGATTTATGAGTACTATCCACGACTGTAACAAGATAATAATAATAAAGTGCTATAACAGGGCACAACACTGGCAAGATACTGAAACACTCAACGACCTGACACCTAGCTCTAACACATCTCCAGTGCGCAAACCAACAGCCTTCCAATGGGGGAACTATGTTACTTAGAACGGTTAGGTAGGCCCAGTTACCGCACTTTATGACTGCATGCGTTTTATCGTGATGCAGTCATGGACAGTTGCTTCATAACTAGTACCCATGGCACCAGCTAGGGAGAAGTACTTCAATGTGTGTCAGTGTGGTACTTCCGTTCGAGCTGAAGTACATGTACAACAATCATGTACTGCAGTACTTGATGACAATGAAATCCGGGGTCCAGAACAGCTGGCCAAGTTGTGCGGAACATCTTGAGTGGTCCCGTCGCTGCTCACATACATGTAGGCATGGCGCGACTTTTCCTCTCACCTTGGCTTGGTACATGATGCATGTTTGGATTTAATTAGGCTGTCATGGTACACCAATGTACATGTACACCTTATTTCAGGTGATACAAGCTATTGTTTTAATCAGTGAAATTGGTCAGAAAATGTTGAGTCACCTCCACCATTGCACTGCACTCTTTAGCCGACTAGACCTTCCTGCACACAACCATCACCACTGCGAGGACACTTTCGTAGACGATAATTCCTTCATACAGCTGTTTCGTTAATGCATAGCTCAGGCAGCGGGTGCATAGTGGGATTTCAAATACACGAAAACGCTACTTCAAAGTACTAATTAGCTCAAAGTAATTGTTTTAAGTGAATTTCCTGGGAAACCCTTGAAGAACGCCGACTTAGCCGACTAGACCTTCCTGCACAAAACCATCATCACTCCGAGGACACTTCCGTAGACGATACTGATAATTCCTTCAGACAGCTGTTTCGCTAATGCATGTACATAGCTCATCAGTGAAGGTAGAGATTTTGAATGATTAGATATAGACCACACTGCTATTATTATAGGGCTTTTCACATACACAACTGGCATACATGTAGCTGATGTGATACCGCGGGAAAAGGAAAATATTGGTCAGAGCCTGCATACTGGCAGCAGGTGCATGTGGGATCGCAAATACACGAAAACACTTCTTCTAAGTAGTAATCAGTTCAAAGTAGTTATCGAGTGCATTTCCTGGGAAACCCTTGAAGAACGTTTTGTCTTGCAGAGGAGGATCTTGACTGACAGTTAGCTCCAGATTATGCTTCATCAAGTTGAAGGAGGTGGACATTCCAACTCCAACCCCACATCACATCCACCTTCCCTGCCATGTCGAGGTGACCACTCCTGGAGAAGCGAAAACCATCATCCTTCACTTTCGTGTTATTGGGCAACCTGTCCGTTTGAATCTGCGAAGTAAAATAAACAACAACAACAACAAAGGCCTTCACAGTAGCCTAGAAAGTGTCATGCATGATTGTTATATCCGGCCATACCCAATCTCCGCCAAATGAATAGCTACTGACAGTCTGTCGTACTGAAGTAGCTGTTTCAACCTCGTTTGATCTCATCAGCGGAGCTCAAAGTAATGGACTGAATGGATAGAAATGAAGTCGAGACAATAGCAAAGCACTTGTATTTCGGAAATGTCGAAACTCGACAGCCTCTTTCTTATACGAGCAATCACGAAGCACTAGAAAACTGGCCCAGCAGGAGACAGCACTGGAACACATTACTGTACCGACTCCGAGGCATTGAAGACTATTAAGTTCAGGGAAGGTCATTTTGGTGGTGTGCTTTGCCTCCCCTGCTGCTGCTGCTGCTGCTGCTGCTGCTGTGTTTACGCATCCGGCTGCCCTAGAACCAGAGAGACTGCCACTGTGGCATGCATACACTGATACAGCAAACATTGTACCTGTCAATGCAATAACAATGTACAGTGATGCTCAATAAAATCCGATCGCGTGAGCCGCGGTGAGCCATGCACCCTGCACCAGTTCCCATAACAGTGTTGGCAGGTCTACGGCTGCACAGCGCCCTTCGTGGCATTGACCGTCACCATGGTCACTTGATCGGACACTGACTGTACGTATTCCAGAGGACCACTACAGCTGTACAATGTTCAAGGACTCCTGGATGCTGTAAAACCGGAAAGTTTAACAACCAACACGTTTTAAAACGTTCAACGTAGCATTTAAAACGAACGTTTATCGCCATCTGCGAAGCACAAACTGGCTCTGGGCAGTCGACTCGCTATGAATCATGCTGCTCTTGTCTATCCCTATCTATGCACCACAATTAACTGGCTGGGACAATCGACTCGCCATGATCAGCCATGGTGATGCTCCTCTCGCCTCTCGGTCACACCCCCTGTAATCATAGTCTCACAGTTTCTCGCGCACACTCGCTGGTGTTAACCCTTCCTTTCTTTTCACTTTGCTGACTCGCACGGCTCTATCTTTTGTTTTTTTGGTGCGCGTTTTTGGCCGTGATGCCGAGACCTCAGGTCGGCAGAGCCATCAATGCCAATGGCGATTCAATGCCCCACCATCACTGCTGCGTCTCGGTGCAGCCCCTGCTCAATAGTTGTCACGTTTGTCCTAGTCTCAGTACCATTGTCTTTCTTTATTATTTTCGAGCTGGGAATGTGAACATAGTAAAAATAAATAAAAAAGTGCACAGACTACAGTACTATAGAGTATAGTGTAGTAGTGCAACGCCAAAGCATTGCCATGGCAACGTACGTGAATTCTCATTATCGATCAATGACACTACACTGTATAACGAACTGAAATAATAAAAACCAAACCAAACCAAACTGTATCTCTCTTCTTGTGCCCCGATGCAGACAGTCCTGGTCACGGTATGGTTGTCAATAATGTCATCCAGCCTAGCCACTGACGTCATGCCTACGCCCAGCAGCAGCAGCTCCGCCACGGGTGCGAGCGGTGACGGCGCCGCCAGCACTAGCAATGTCCAGGATCAAGAGCAGCAGCAGTGCTCCTCGTCGTCGCCGGGGGAGACAGACTCAAGTCACGTGACCGTGAACGCCAGCGAGCTGGGCTGGGAGTGTCAGACGTGCTGCACATCGCTGCGCATGCCCGACACGCCGCCCGACATGAGCCCCGGCTGCGAGTTTAAATACGAGTGTGCCGAGCCGGACTGCAGTCGAATACCCAGCGTGTACTACGAAGCGCGGCTGGTCTCGGGCAACGGCAGGTGCGCTGTGAACAACACGTTCGGCTCGTGCCGTCCGCAGGAGTACTACATTATCGGACAGAAGCTGAAGCGCAATAGACGCACGGGCCTGGTGCGCCTCAAGTCCGTTCAAATACCAGTGGTGGTTGGGTACACGTGCAAACTGGATTGAGCTACATCGCTAGAACCATACTTTTGTAATTTTTAAAATTATTAGGATGCTTTGCCTTACAGCAGGGCCGGGTGACATTGAAATCACCATGGCAACTGGAATTCGCCTAGCAGCCAGGTAACCACTCAAATTATCACCACGGTAACTTTAATTCGCCTCGCGGCCACGTAATCGTTCAAATTTTCACCGTGGCAACAAGACATTCTTTGCCCGGGCAAGCAGACACAATGCGGCACCAGGGAGTACTGGTGTGGATGATATTCTATTGGAAATCTTGTGCACTATGCTAGGAGTGTCACTGGTCCCATGCTCTTGAAAGCATGTGCACTTTAGGATTTTGGCAAAGCACTTTTTGGATTACTTGATTGCTAAATGCACACACATCCTCACAAGACTCTCTGAACTCCACTATTTAAATCTAAAATATACTTCAGTAGTACTGCAGATGATGGTGAGCCAAGGAACACATTTGTAACATGGAAATTGTGGGCACAAGTTATGCGATGTCTGACCGTTCAAAACCTGGTTTAGTTGGTGGACTCGACCGCATAACTTGTGCCCACAATTTCCATGTTACATATTTGTTATAGTGTTCGAATTTTCAGGTTTGCATCTTGAGAAACTGAATGCCAAAGAAGTGGAAATCATCCACAGGTCTGGGCCGGGGCTGAAAATGAGACTTTTCATTGACAAATTTCTGAGAGAAAAGAGGTTTGGGTGGACACACCCATTTAAAGAATTTCTGAGAGTAGTACAATGTTCCACCCCCCCACCTCTCCCCCTCATTCCACCACCTCCAGGGAGGAGAGAATCTTGGCGCATATCACAGGAACTGGCCATGTATGAGTGAAGAACTGATACACTGTAGGCTGTATACGGCAGAAACATGTTGTGACTCGTAGCACTACACTGAACCGTACACACACACCTTGGTCCTTGGTAACACTGCCATCAAATGGTCACGTGTCCCCTGTGCAGGGGTCGACAGCACTGAGTTCAGCATTGGACCCAGAAACGCCGCTCTACTTCCTGGACAGGAAATTAGCACAGCTATGCAGGTCGAAACCACGGGATGACTTGCAGCAGCGACCGCAGCCGAGACAATGCGCTCTGCAGCAGGGCAGGGCAACCCGCTGTTTCCGGACCGAGTCTGCCGATGCCACAGCCGAGACCGACGCCACTTCAGCAGCCGAGTTGGAGAGACACTTATGCGAAGCTAGCCCGCCAGCACTCAAGAACCATCTCCCGCACGCATTACATAGTCGGCTGCCGGACTGCTCAGATATGGGCTTCCTCCTCTCGGCCAGGCACTTGTGGCGATTCTTGTATTTCTGGTTGGCGAAAGTACGCTGGCAAACATCGCAGAGCACAGAAGTGTCACGCTGAGCCGATCGCGGTACTGGTTGAGCGGAATACGCACTGCGCCATTTCCCACGCTCCTGGGCGAGGTCGTACCATTCCGTGTGGTCGATGTTCACTGCGGAGAGGTCAGCTCTGACAGAGTCTCGCCACCGTTTCCGAGGACCGCAAGCCGGCCTCGGCGGAAGGAGCGCACCAAACAGGAGCTGGCGCGGAGTTCTATCGCCGTCCATCCTAGCTAGATGGCCTAGCCACTCCAGACGGCGGCGAAGAACACGTGTGGTAATATCCACTGGATCTCGACGATTCCAGGCCTCCAGAATGGTCTTCCTGTTGATGTGGAAGTCCCAGGTGTCTCTTCTACCGAGGGCTAAGATTGCGGAAATGCAGCGAAGATGGAAGGCGGACAGCTCCGCAAGCTCGCTTTTCAGTGGTACCCAACACTCCGCTCCGTAAAGGAGAAGAGAAGCCACACATGCATCATACACCATTCGCTTCGTTGCCAGTGAAAGATCGCCATCATCAAAGACAGATCGACCCAATGCTCCGAATGCCCTAGATGCTGACGCTATTCGGGACCGAGTGTCCACTGCGGTGCGGCCACCAGTATGGATGATGGAGCCTAGGTAGCGAAAGTCATGCACATTCTCGACAATTTCCCCGCCAACCACCAATGGACGACGATCCTCCGGAGAAATGCCGAAGCCGACCGCCATTACTTTGGTTTTTGATAGGTTGATGGTGAGGCCGAAGCGAGTTGCGACGTCCATGAACCGGCTGAGCGCAAGTGTGGCACCATGGTGAGTTGTAGCAATAAGTGCCGAATCGTCTGCGAATTGACAGTCACGATGGATGTTGATTGTGTCAGTCTTCTGGCGTTTGAAAAGGAGAGACGGTCCAGAGTTAGAGGAGACGGGAAGTCCAATCTCAGGTATGTCCGCAACCTCACGCTGCCACAGCTGGAATACTGCCCACATGAATATATTGAACAATACTGGGGCCATACAACAACCTTGTCGAAGGCCATTTTGCACCTCAATAGGCTCGGCCTCGATGCCCGGGATCGACAGGTTTGCAGACATAGAGGTATGAAATGAGCTGATAATGGTAACCAGCTTGTCAGGTACGCCCGCCTTCCGGAGAATTTCCCACATGCACTTACGGGTGACGGAATCATAGGCCTTCCGTAGATCAACAAAAACCATGAAACCAGAGCAGCGATGTTCATATAGTTTCTCAGATATTTGTCTCACCGCGAAGATCATGTCCGCACAAGATCTGCCTTTGCGGAATCCACACTGCGTGTCTGGCAGGATGTCTTCCGCGAGCCGCTGCAATCTTGTCTGGACGAGGCCAGCAACAGCTTTTCCTACCACCTCCAGAAGAGCGATGCCCCTCCAATTGTCACAGCTGGATAGATTTCCTTTTTTTGGTATCGGGACAAGCTGGCAGTCCACCCACTCCTGGGGCACCCGCTCTGCATTCCACACTGTCTGGACAAGGTCCAGTAGTGCCATCATGAGGCCATCCCCACCAGCCTTCAGCAGTTCCGGTAAGATTCCAGAGCCTCCTGCTGCTTTTCCGTTCCGTAGTCGGCGCACAGCTTGCCTAAGCTCTTCCAGAGTAGGTGGATCGGCGAGGTCTTCACACACTTCTTGTTGCTCAATGGTGGCAACAGTTGCAGGTTCATACGAGGTTGGAACATTGTAAACCTTGGAGAAGTGGCGGTGCCATGTGCGGCCCTGATCCGCCGGTGAATTACAGACATTTCCGTTCTCGTCCCGCACAGCGACTGCAGTTACACCCACAAGCCCTCGCCGAGCCGTCTGCATGGTCTTGATACCGGCCCAAATGCGCGCCGAGTCAAAGCGCCCCTTCTCAGTACGTTGTGCCATGGCAGCAAACCAATCATTCTTCGCAGCTCGGGTGGCAGCGCGAGCCCTCGTGCGCGCAACACGGTAGCGCGAATACTCTTCCTGATTCCGGCCACTAGTGATCCATGTTCGATAGCATGCATTGCGCGCGTCCAGCAGTGGCCGCAGCCCGTCCTGGCTTTCCGTAAACCAATCAGGCTGCTGTCTCCTCTGATGACCGAGAGTGTCCGCAGCCGCCGCCGTCACCACGTCCCGCATCGCATTCCATTTCTCGTCGACCGTTTCCGCGCCCGCCACTGCATCAATCTTGGCATTGATGTTTTCCTGGTAGTCGTCAACCTTCCTCCGGTGGTTTCCCTCAGCATCTGTCGAAACCACTGCGGGCAGATTATGCACTGCAAATCGTACTCTCTTTGTAGATTTCCGCGGTTTCCACAAGACCCTGCCGAGCCTAAACCTGGCGGCAACAAGACTATGGTCGCTCCCACATTCTGCCGAGCGAATAACCTGAGCATCAGTGCACCAGTGCCGGCTCCCTTGCGCTGTGATGATGAAGTCAATACAATGGACATGTTTAGTTCTGGGATGCTGCCAAGTGCCTATTGTAATAGGTGTATGTATGCTACGACCTGAATACTCACTATTTGTATTTCCCGCTCGTTCCCCTTGGCAATGAGCACTCACATAGAAGAGCGCATGCTCCAGTTCTGTTCTAGTCTAGTCTTGAGTTGTCGTTGTCCTGTTCTCCTTCTGTCTACACTCTTATCGAATACTTCTATAAATTATCCAATCATATAAAACCCCTGTGTTCCGGTGTGAGGGGGCATCATTAGCCGGGAGCAGCTAACACTGGTGGCAGCGGAAAACGTCCACCACTACATCGCTGGCGGAGTATGTACGCCTTCGGAGATCGCCGACTATGAAGTACCACGAAGGCCCACGCAAGTGAAACCATATCCTCATCCACTCTCTCCGTCAATATTTTCCTTTCTGCATTGTGTTTCTTTCTGCTCGTCGTTTTCTTGTTGCATGCATTGTTTACCATGGTTTACAGTCCATAGGTCAAGCATTGGCGCCAACCTGTCTGGCCAAACATTTTCGGAACATTTTCTGTGTCCGTGTTTTGTGCATACTGGCTGCTGTCTAGTGTCTTGTTAGGATATCTGCTAGCTGGGTAGTAGAGTCTAGCTACACTGTGTCCGTAGAGTAGTTGCCTATTTGGAATTGTCTCTGCCAAATTTAGTTGTTTGCCGCTACGCACGATAGGTTACGTAATAGATTTTAGATCGATGCGTCGCGTCGATCGAGTCCTGCTTTTTCCTGAACCAGGTGTTCGCGATCCAGCATTGATGCATTGCCAGAAACTGAAGTAGCTCCTCCCCAGACGAATTCAGGCAGCCCAAGCCATGTGAGCCACGCACAGCGCTCCAATCATCACCTGGCTCTCCAGATCCCACTCTGGCATTGAAATCTCCAAGTAGAACAAATTTATCTGTGCACGGTATTGAGTTGAGTACTCCTTGCAGAGAGTCATAAAACGCATCCTTTTCACAGCGCTTACTGTTGAATGTTGGCGCATAAGCTGTAACCAGCGACATCCATTCAACCTCTCCACTCGCCAGATCAAACTTCAAGCGTATGGACAACAACCGAGCGGATACTGCGACGAGTTGACAACCTCCTTCGCGCCAGGCCCGAAGCGCATTTCCCCTCAGCACAAACGCAACGCCCTCACCTCGCCGTCTGGGCGCTCCTTCCCCAGGCACAGGCCGACCCGAAGCAATGACCATTGCTCCGTGGACTTGATAGTTTTCCTGACCAAACCAGTGGGTCTCTTGAAGAGCAGCGGCGTCCATCTCCAAGCGTTCCAGATGTTGTACAATTTGATAAATTTTTTTATCGTCGGCAACAATTCCACTCGCGGCAGCCGTCTGAATGTGGCCCTCACTCTCAACCAGAGAGCGTACGTTCCAAGAGCCTATGCTGAATACTCCATGCTGTCGTTTTCTTTGTGCTGTAGATGTCACCACTCGCGGGCTCGCAACGCCTCGCGAAGGCATCTGAGAACGGGACGACGACAAGAGTGTCGACATCAAAAATCGTCGACCAAGTCCGCCGCCGATATTCCCGCCTCAGTATGTTATCCTGGACGGCTGGGGAGGCCCCAGGCCGCCCAGGCCTGTCTCACTATGTCCAGAAACAGTCAGGAGAGGAAGACTTACAGAGAGCAAAAAAAACTCAAACTGTCCCCACCCAAAGCACACACACACACACACACACACACACACACACACACACACACACACACACACACGCACAAACACACACACGCACGTACTCACACGCGCACGCACACACACACACACACACACCTGACGGAAGTGTTTTTGGCCGTGATGCCGAGACCTCAGGTCGGCAGAGCCATCAATGCCCCACCATCACTGCTGCGTCTCGGTGCAGCCCCTGCTCAATAGTTGTCATGTTCGTCCTAGTCTCAGTATCATTGTCTTTCTTTATTATTTTCGAGCTGGGAATGTGAATATAGTAAAAAAATAAATAAAAAAAGGCAAATGCCCCAGTTGATACGTCCCAGCCCCAGACTCCCAGTTCCCAAAATTGTCACCCACGGTATTCAATTGAGTGGGAACTGACAAAGTAATTAGTTCATAGACAAAAAGGGGATTGTACGCAGAAATCCGGTACAAGCAACACAGAAGAGGTCTTGCTTAGCCTACAGGAACATGGCAGGGGAATGGTCATGTTTGTGCCATGGAGCGGTACGTCCCACGGCATGTCATAGTAGTGTTTCGAATTTCTATTTTCTGCCACGAGACCGTGCTGCAGTGATGGTGGAGCATTGATGGCTCCGCAAACTTTTAAGGCCTCGGCGCCACAGCCAAAAACACCCACCAAAAATAAGAGATAGAACTGTATGACGCTGTAAGCGGTCAGCCCATTCCTTGTGCCCGCTTGCATGCGGTAGAGCTCTCTTCTGCTTGCTACCTGCCCCGTTCTGACAAGCTTGAGGAGTAGCATGTACCGGGGCAGCATGACAGGAGCAAGTCTTGAAGCAGACGAAGAGTTGCACCACGATTCCGGCAAATCCTCATCTCCGTCAGAACACAGCAAGTAGCTCTGCCCTCGGGCATTGATCACTCTTTTGGATAGCCTGCAACCTTTCTGTGTCAGAGTCCGATTACCGGAAACTCAGGGGGAGGTGATGTCCGTAGCGGTTCGGCAGGCTCCTGTTGGATTGTACCGGCATTGTCTAGCTGCTGAACCTTAGCTGTTATGACGGGCGTAGCATGCACGATCAAGTGTTCGAAACTTGAGTGGTGATGAACACCTCACCATGCGCCGCTCACCGGGCCTGTTCTTCAGCTCGCAAAACGGTCTCAGTATCCGCTGCTGTGCCGTTGATAACGTACACGTAGCAATGGTAGGTCAATTAGAACCTTGAGTAGTGATGAACACCTTACCATGCGTCGCCTGCATGATCTTCAAACCGTAAACGGTCTTAGTATCCGCTGCTGTACTGTTGATATCGCACGCATAGTGACGGTAGGTCGATGACCTCCCATGCGCTGCTCAGAACCTGCGAGGAAATCAGAGAGCCAGCAACAACAACAACTGCTGTGGTTCTGATACAGTGAACTTTGCGTATAACGACACTCGGCGGAGCATCAGAAAAGTGTCATACACGAAGTCTCATTATATGTATTACAGTTAGATGAGACTTTGCTCTGGGCATGGAAGTTCTGTCGTTATTCGCGAATTGTCGTTATATCCGCAGTCGTTATTAGCGAAGTTGACTGATACACTGCTACCTTGCTGATTTCTAGCCTCAGACAATCCACAGCAGGCCAGCGGTCCAGTTGTTCAAGTTATCAGTTATCACCGTACCAATCTTTTGTCCACCAGTACAGTCATGTTTACAGCCATGCAGGTAGGGACCGGCGGATTCTGCTCGAAAAGGTAGCAGATTCTGCTCAAAAAGCAGTGAAATTGGCAGAACCATACAAACCTTATGGCGGGCAATTCCTCGAATTCTGCTCCTTTCTTTTTATCCACATACCAAACATGCATGAAACTTACCAGAAAAAGTACCGAATTCTGCCATATTTTCTGCCAGCAGAATCCGCCGGACCCTACCGTGGAGGATACTGTAAAACATGTAATTTTAGGTGCATTTAAATTTCGGTGCCAGGGACCTGCCGGGTTTCAGGTGTAATTTAGAATTAGGTGACCAGCTTTCCCTTCACATACAGTTCATACTCTAGTGCCTTTCAGGTGTAATTTTAATTTAGGTGCTTGTTTTCTCTACCGAAATCACCGAAATTAAAGTCACACCGAAAATAACATGTTTTCCAGTTGTGTACCCGCCATATCATAGATTAATTTATTAATTTTATTAATTTTATTCAACATCTCCTGGCCCGTCCGAAGACTGCCAATAAACATGAGAGGTCAGGTGATAGCCAACCACGGCAAGCTAAAAGGGAGAAAAAGAAAGATGCTGTCAGAGAGGGAAAGGAGATAGGGAGAGAAAAAGAAAGGGAGGCACATTAGTAATACATGGGATCACTTCGGATGAGACAGTGTGGAAAGCTGGACTTTGAATTTCCTGATATCCTGGCATGTCTTAATGCTAGTAGGCAGGTTAGACCAAAGGGAGTATGCTGAGAAGAAAGGGGATTTCAAAAACAGAGAGGAACTAGCTCGGGGCAGTGATAAGGCATTGCGTGTTGGTCTAGTGGTAACAAACCAGTTGTACTTGGCAATATGTTTCGGGACTTGGGCTAGGAAGATTTTTTGCACAAGGATACAAAGATGCTGCTGATGTCGGGCAAGAAGAGGGTGCGTGGAAGCAAGTTTATAAAGACAAAGGGAGGCAAATGTTTGGTCTTTTCGAAACAGAATTTTCAGAAGCAAGCGTTGATGTACTTCCAGTCTGTGGAGTAAAGTCTGAGACAACCCGCACCAAGCTATATCGCAATAGTCAAATATAGGCAAAATGTACGACTTAAAGAACAATTTTCTGCAGTTATCATTCATGTGTTGGCAGTGGGGTTGTAGCATACCTAAGGACGCACTCGCACGCTTGCACACAGACTGGACTTGTGGAGACCAGGAGAGTTGGCGGTCGAGAATAACGCCCAGGTGCTTGTGCTCGTTAACAACTTTAATAGGTGTACTATTTAGACCAGGAAAATACAGAAGCTGAGTGGGGGGCGAGGGAGAGAAGAACATGGCCTCGGTTTTGGCGAGGTTAGGCTTCAGTTTCCAGGTTTCCATCCATGTTACTGTAGCGTTGACCCCGGACTGCATGGAGGCCGTGAGGTTGTCTGCCGAGCTGTCGGAGCACAACAGAGCAGTGTCGTCAGCAAAAAGACTTACATTTGGTACAAGGGCTGGCAAGTCATTAACGTACAGTAGAAATAGGAGCGGCCCAAGTATGGACCCCTGGGGTACCCCAGACACGACTAGTAATGGGTCTGACAGGGAGGTAGATACTCTGACAGTCTGGTGGCGGCAGGAAAGATAGGATGAGAGCCATTGCAGGGCTGGACCATGTACCAAGAAGACGGACTCTAGCTTTGCAAGCAGACCACGATGCCAGACGGTGTCGAAAGCTTTCGCTAGGTCAAAGAACACGATGCCAACATGCCGCCTGAGGTTCCGCTGGGTGTAGATGTCTTGTACTAGACGTGTTAGTTGGAAAGTTGTGGAGTCTCCACGGCAGAAACCGGATTGAGATGGTGAAAGCGCTGGGGTGACGTGGCAGTACAGAGACTCAAAGAAAATACGTTCACAGACCTTTGACACAGCGGGGAGGAGAGAGATTGGTCTGTAGTTGCCAGCCTGAGAGCGTTGGCCTTTCTTATAGATCGGGACGATAACAGCAGATTTCCAGACGGACGGAAATACTCCTGTACGATATGACATGTTAAAGAGCAGGCACAAGGGATAGGACAGAGATGGCGCAAGCCATTTGAGAACCTCATTGGGTATGCCATCTTCGCCAGGGGACTTACAATTCTTCAGGAGTTTGAGGTGCTTACAGACGGTAGCAGTCGTGGTAACGACGCGTGTGAGTGGTGCGCTAAGTTCAGGGGCTGGGGACAGCGATGGAATGTCCCAATTCGGATCCTCCGGAATGCCGGATGAAACAAACTGCTTGTTCAGTGTGTCTGCAATCGCCTTCACATCGTGCTGGCGGTTGCCATTGGAGTCCGTCAGGTACTGGATTGGCGCGCGGGAGGTCCCGCGGCACTGGTTGCGAATGAATTGGTGGAGTGATGGGCGATCGGGGGAGGAGAGTGTTGCAGAAAGAGAGTTTAGAAAGGAGCGGTGTGAGGTACGAGAAAGGTGCTTGACAAAGTTGCGTTGAACTCGGTAAGCCTCCCGGTTAACCGGCGTTGGGAATTTCTTGTAGATGCTGAAAAGATCACGCTTGCGCTTCACTTCAGATACGAGGGACCGTGTCACCCATGGGGGACTAGATGTCGAGGATGTTGGGTTGGAATGTTTCCGGTTGTTGTAGCCGATAGCAAAGTTAGAGAGGTGCTGTTGGAACCCTCGTTCAAGGACGGCTGCAAAGTGATCTACCGCGGCGTCAACAGTTGGAGAGCCTTCTGGTTGCAGAAACGACCAGTCGTGGCAGGAGAAATCAGCGTTCATAGAGTCCCAGCACTGAGAGGGAACTCGACGGAAGCGATATGGGAACGGTTTGCGAGAAGGAAGTGGCAGGTCTGGGTCCGAGGGCAATGAGACGGCGAACTGGCATGAAACCATGAGATGGTCCGAGGAGCCAAGAGCGCAAGCTGTGTGAACGTCCGTCGCCAGCAGGGGTTGGTTTGTGAAGACAAGGTCTAGACATGACTGTGTTCCGGAAGATGTTGTGTGCGTTGGACTCTGCACCAGCTGATCCAAACCGAAGCAGGTAAGGGTGCGAAAAAGTGCCGCCCCAGCAGGACACGTTAAATCCGATGGGCACCACCGTTTGTGCTTACTGTTGAAGTCCCCAGCCATTATGACATGGTACGATGACATGGGAACGGTTACCAAAGCACTAGCTAGCATATCACAGAAGTGGTCTATTTCCGTGGTTTTGACTGAGGGCGGACGGTAGGTACAGCAGACGAGGATGGGTGTCGGGGAGCCTAAGATTGGGTGAAGCTCAACCCATACGGATTCACAGGTCGGATGAGCAAGGTCGTCGCGAACTTGGACTCTTCCGAAGCGATTTTGCCGGACAAGAATCGCAACTCCACCATATCCTCTGGTTGCCGTACCGGATTTGTTATCATGAGGTGGTCGGTCGCGACGAAATGTGGTATAACCGGAGATGGTGAGCGCTATGCTTGGATTTAGCCATGTTTCATTTAGACAGATGACATCAGGTTTGTTGAAATCAGCAATGACAGACAGTTCGGCAGATTTGTTAACGATTGAGCGGCAATTTACGGAAAGCAAGGTCAGTTTACCCTGGCAAGGGGGGAAGTAGGGCCGAGCCAGTGGATTCAGCTGTGGTCGCGCCATCATGCTGAGCCTGAGGAGAGGACGTTGTTTGCCTGGTTGGCATTGCTGGTGTCAAAACTGTCCGCGGCAAAACGCCAGGGCCTAACCGTGTGCGAAAGAGCATCCGGCCAGAACCCTTTGTCACCGACTGTGTTCTCATCAGCTGCCTCGACGGTCACCCGTGCGTAGGCAGTTCTGAAGTGCTTGGATGCAAATATGACACCTTCCTGAATCTGCACTCCTCGGGCAGAGCACCATTCAGCAATTGATGATGCGGAGCAGTGTGGCTGCACGTTGCCAACGTAAAACACTTTGCGTTTGGCCCGGGGTGATGCCGTGAGGTCTACTGCCGGCTCGCTATCACGAGCCGGCTTGGTGTAGCGGGATGTTTCCACCCGCCTTGTTATGCTTTGAGCTAGCTGGGACTGACTACTAGTATCTGCCGCGTGCCTTTGTCTCTGGGCGGCTTGAGTGCGTCTGCCCTGGTGTTCCTGCCATTCATGTACTTGTTGTTCAGTATCGGTGGACCTACGGGATGCATCCAGGCCTGCTGCGGGGCTGGAGCTACGACTTGTAGTAGTGCTGGACCTACGGGATGCATGCACGCCTGCTGCGGGGCTGGAACTACGACTTGTAGTAGTGTTGGGTTGTTGCACACGCGTTTCTCCTGGCAGGCTGCCACTGCCGGCGTGTGTACCGTACGTTTGTACAGACCTGCCCGTTGTGGTGCTGAGCCTCGCACGTGCACTTGCAGTTTGTGTGGCGGTTCCTAGTACTACGTCGCTGTACTGGTGTGGCATGGCGTGCTGTGTGTGTACGCTAGTATCTCGCAGGTCAGCCATTTCCCGCCTCAGCTGTTGAATTTCAAGCTTCAAGGAAGCAATTTCATCATCTCTTCCCACCCTAATTGCCACTATTTCTTTATTCAGGTCCATTATTGTCGAGGACAATGCGGCCAAAGCAGTCGTGACATGTCCTATACCGGTCATACCTTCCAGGATGGGGTGGGACCCAATCCCCTCCTTCCGGAGCGCTCCCACCAGGTCGGGCCGTGAGAAGGAGTCCGCTTTCGGGATGCCAGTCCGGGTGGCCAGGTTTTGTAGACAGTCGAACGTCAGAAGGGCCAGGTCGACATGCTCATTGGTGGCCATAGTCCGCAGTACAAGTCACAGCTCCTGTAGGTTACAGTTACAGACTCGGAAAGGCTGATAGGAGCGGAGCTCCTAAAACTGCATCCGCACTCTAACTGGTACTTATCTCTACTAATGTATTATGTATATGATGGTTCTGTGCAAAATAGCAGGGGAATTTTTTTGGAGAGGGCGTTGTACTGTAGTAGCAGAAGTTCGATAACGTATGAAGTCTATGGTACTCCCGGACCAGTCAAGTACTGCTTCCCAGAGTCCTGCACAGTTAACTGGGAGCATGTGGCTCCGCATCAGGGAAAGATGGATGCAGAAAATGGGATTTTCGGTGATTGAACACATTGTGCTGGGTCTAATCCAAGGCCGTCGTCACAGCTGGGGCGGCTGAGGCTGCCCCACTTTTTCGGCCGGTTTTTTTTGTTTTTTGTTTTTTTTGAGCACACTCCATGCATGATCGCAGCTCAGCCCAAACGTGGCAAATAATGAAGAATCCTTGTCCCCGATCGTGGTTTATTGCAGAATCAAAAAAGTCTTTCATTGCACTCACAACACACTGAAATGGCACCAAATGCCTGGAAATGCTTGCAAATTGGCTTCAATTTTTGAAATTTTTCCCGTGGGAAGATAATGAAGAACCCATGTCCCCGATCGTAGCGTCTTCTTGGTTTGTTGCAGAATCAAAAAGTCTTTCATTGTAGTTACACTGAAATGGCACCAAATGCCCGGAAATGCTTGCAATTGGCTTCAATTTTTGAAAATTTTTCCCGGGGGAGGACCCCTGGACCCCCCTTCCAAGGCCGCCCCACCTCCAAAGTCGGTGCGACGGGCCTGTAATCTACTTACTTCCCATCGATTTTTTGAGCACTGACAACGGTTCAAATTTTTTTCTTGAATGCAGAGAAATCTCAATGAGAGTCCAGACTAAAAAAATGTGTGTTTGGGGCCAAGTTCGAGCTTAATATTCCCTTCATGAGCCAGATAGTAGGGTAAGGGCCCGGGGGGGGGGGGGGGGGGGTGGGGAGGTATATGATTGGAATGCTGGCTCTGGCCCTGGGAATTATTGTGATTTCAACTGCCCCACTGGAGGCCACTTCACTGCACGGGTCACGTACCATTCTGAAGTCTGCGGCAGTGCTGATGGCCATGATGCTGGTACGCAGCACACTGTGACAGGCCAACAGCAGAGCTATCATGCAGCTCTCGGAGAAACCGGTCAGAAACAGCTGGTCCCAGGCGAACAAGAGAGCGTCCCAGTCCAGCAGCGGTGTGAACAACTGACGAGCGGCAAACAAACGAAAAGGGCAAGCACACAGTACGGGTGCACTAGAATGTGATGGTGGTGGCGATGGTGGTGGTGGTGGTGGTGGTGGTGATGGTCAGGCGCGTGCACCGTATGAGTTTTTTGGTGTCTGGAAACCACCTTTTTTCGGGCAATCTTGCCAAAGGAAAAGCGTGCCTATTGCAGTACTGGATTGGTTATCGTGCATACGCGTCGATCGCCGGGCAGTTTACAGTACAGTGACTATGTCCTTATTTCGAAGTGAGAGAGAGTTGCTTTGCATGCAGTTCAAAATACATTATTCTCTCTTCTGGTTCGCTCCTGGATTGGCGATGACGTTCAAGAAATCCGTTTTGTCTCGAAATTTGAGTCAAGCACGCGTGATGCAAGTCAGTTCAAGGATATGATTGACGATATCTCCTTCCAAACTGTTGACTCAAATCAAGGCCTCCATAGCCTTTCGTTCTCGCTCATGTACGCAACAGAGATGTTCGTCAAAAACGTTGTCGACTGGAAGACGTAAAAATGTGCGTCCATGATCCACTTGCGCTGCTTCAGAACGAAGCGCTGCTCCAGCCGCGACTCAAGGACGCGGGGCTTCGCTTTTCTTCTTCGAGCTTCCATCGAAGCAAGGTCCATAACTCTTTATTGAAATCATGTGGAACATTGCCAATACAATCATGCTGAAAACTTCGTCATAAGAACAGAAAGAAAGATATTGGTACGCGGTACGTCGAATAAGCAGTGTTTTGATGAAACAAACATGCCTGGAGTGGACTAGTCTGTCCCTCCAGGAAATCGCGATTCCACGGATGCAACAAATTTCGCGATTTTCGCCCAAACCCGCGATTTTCAGCAAAATCCGGGATTTCCCGCGTTTTTTGTTGTTTTCTGCACTTTTCACGCAGTGCTTTCCTTGATCCTGTAGGTTATTTGCACTCGTACTACTCCCGAGTAGATATACGATGCAACAAATTGCGTGATTTGGCCCAAATCTGCAATTTTCTGTAAATAATTCCTCGAATTCCTGGCAAGTTCTGCATCGTTCCGCACTTTTCGTCGCATTTTTTGTTGTTTTCTGCCGCAATTTCTTGCGCAAGTTTTCGAGAGTTTTTTCCGCAAATTCCCGCAGGGACAGACTAGTGAAGTACCATAGACGTAGTGTTATTCTGTAGACTAGCGTAGTGTAGCCTGGGCGGCTAGGCCTATCAAACTTTTACGTGTTCAATGACAAACATGTAATATGTATGAGTACAAGTTGACTTTTGCGCCCTCTTTGCAAATACTTTTTGAAGTGCTGGTATGTAAAAGGTACCCCGTTTTATCCTGCTACCGGTTATACATGTACCAACACTTCCATGTAGCATCGTCCCCTCCCTCCATTCCTCTTATTTCTGTCCATTCTACCCCTGGACCTGGTTCCCTCTCAGACGCGTTTGTGTCGGCATGATCTGATGATAGGAGTCGGACGAGCCCCGCATCTCATCAGCACCAGTGTTCATTGGTGCCCTGCACCCCTGATCTTGAGTCCCCCCCCCCCTCCTCCCTTGCCCTCGCCGTTCTCTCCGACGGGATGTTTGGGGGATGCACATGTGCACAAATGCATAATTATACAGTGGGTCTCCAGAAAAATTTACCAACTCTAGAAACCCCCTTTTCAAGACTCGGTGCACGCCACTGATGGTGGTGGTGATGGTGGTGGTGGTGATGGTGGTGGTGATGGTGGTGGTGATGGTGGTGGTGATGGTGGTGGTGGTGGTGGTGGTGGTGGTGGTGGTGGTGGTGGTGGTGGTGGTGGTGGTGGTGGTGGTGGTGGTGGTGGTGAGAAGGAGAGCTCTGTGCCAGAATAACTTTGCAGCTTAGAGAGCGTGTGTGGGCAGGCGTGTATTTACCGTCATCTTGTCAGGTGTGTATTTCCCAACATATTAAGCAACCATAGGTATAGCCGTGCCTTGATCCAAGAGGGCGGTGGCATTTCTGTGGACGCGAAAACTCGGCCTTTGGCCGAGTCTCACGCGAACCGTGAATTTAAAAAAAAAGTACAGCTGCAGTGGAGTCTTCATCTTCATTTACACTAGAATGCGATCAGACTTTCCAGGCACGTAGGTCGTGTATAGTCAGCGTAGTGCAGTCACTGCACCATCAAATGTCTGTCATACGTACTACGTATTGTAAAACCTGGTGTAAGCGACCTCTGTGTTTAGCGACCACCTTGCTCTTAACGACCGTTTTTTTTCATGCACCGACAGTTCTACACAGACACTGTGGGACCTGGTTCTAAAGACCACCTGGCTTTAACGACCGCTTTCGCTTGCACCGTGGGGGTGGTCACTGAAACCAGGTTTTACTGTAGTCAAAATGGGCAAAGTGGCGGCTACGAGGTTGCCGGTGGCGCATGGTCACAACGACAACACAGATGTGGGCGCTACGCCCTTGTACTTTATATTATTATCATTATCCGCCTTTTCGGGTTGACATCACCAAGCAAGCTTGGCTACTCTCCGTGTAGGCCAATTAGAATGAAGAATGAGTAACGAGCGGGGTCAATGAGGTGCTAATACACACGCAACAGCAGAGTAGGCAAGAAATAAAAATGAATAGTCCCTGTGCTTGTACAGGAGAATGGGCCGTGATCGGGCAAGCATCCGACAAATACCGGTGAAAACACTCACCTCGGCAAGAAAGTATTCTAGTAAGTCACTGACATCCTGTGTGATGGACTCCGTGTTACTCTCTCCGGTCTGGGGCGTACCTTGGAACTTTGTCACGTGTGATAGTCCCTGGAGCAAAGCAGAAAAGAAATACACTTGGCATGGCTTTAAATGCATGCATGCATACATTCATCATGTGTGTGGTGTGAGCGTGCAAACAGACACACACACACACACACACACACACACACACACACACACACACACACACGTCCACACACATGCGCACGTGCACACACACACGTGCGTGGGTATGCACACATACACAGACACAGACACACACACACACACACACACACACACACAACTTACAAACATCGTGGGCATGGAGAGCTGAACAAGGCTGCTGAGCTTTCGGTGCAGTGCCGGATCTTGACGCTCTAACATAACACTTGCTCTCTGTGCAGCTACCCGGAGCTTTGCCCTACTGGGCAGGATTGTGTATTGTAGCAAATAGAACAGTGTGGCATTGTCAAGAATTGGCAGCCCTGAGCATAACAGCAAGAAGCAAATACAAAAAATCAAGATACTAGTACAAGTCAAGGACAACTGGGAAGCGTATCCAATGTTAAAAGACGTTTTAACGTGGACGCAATCCACACTAGTCCAGTATACCGTAGACTCCCGCGGATACGCCCATGGGCTTATCCGTTTCACAAGGACATTTCGGTGGGCTTATACAAGAACATGGGCTTATACGCGGGCATGGGCTTATACGCTGACACCAAAAGTGCGCATTGCAAAGGTACCAAGGAAGTGAGAAGTACATTGCTGAAAACCACTGTGCATACAAAACAACCGATGATTGTGTTGAAATGTAAAAATATAATAAAAACTACATAAGTATGCTACGTATATGGTACGACCAAGAGTCCATAGTTTATGGACTCTTTGTACGATTTAGGCCCATGGGCTTGTACGATGAAGCTTTGTGATGTTCGAACGTTCCCTGGTCTTTATGCGCGAGCATGTGCTTAAACGCGCGTGGGCTTATCCGCGTGATTCTACGGTATACTTGAGTATTTAAATAATAATAACATTCATTCATTCGAGGGAAAGGTGCAAAAGTGGTGACATTGTATTTGTATTATACTGCATGAGAGTGGTGATCCTTGAGGGCGGTGACGTTCCTGCGGGTGCGGAAACTCAGTCTAACTGAGCTTTGCGTGACCTGTGAATTATAGATTTTAATATAAGTGTGCGTATGTGCGCACTAAAGTGCGCGTACGTGTGCATGTAAGTGTGTGTGTGTGTGTGTGTGTGTGTGTGTGTGTGTGTGTGTGTGTGTGTGTGTGTGCGTCCGTGTGTGAGCGAGTACATGTATGTGTGTGTGCACACACATAGCATGCACACATACAATAGAGAGAGAGAGAAAATCTAGAAAATGAACCAAGCAGAAACTCACTATCCTCCGCAGTGGGAAAAGTACATGTACTGATGACGGACACAAGCACTGACACGGGTAGGACAGCCGTCATCATCTTGCCATGTTGGTGCGGTCGTTGCCATACAGATTCTGCACCAGCAGCACGACTAACACCGTGTTTGCCGTGACACCTCTCACCCGCCTCTGCTATGCACAGCAGATCCAGCACGGCAGTCGTTGAGCTAAGCAACGCGTCAAGTGCACTCGAGTGTGGCGCTCGCTCCCCGTCGTCGCGTCGCACATCCTTGCCGCCGTGGCTGCTGGACGCGTCGTGCTGCTCGCCACACCGCTGTGCGTAGGTTGAGAGAGCCGGAACGGTGGCGAAAACCTGAAACGTTATCACAGAACACAGTGTGCAGGCAACCAGTGCAAGAAGAAAGCAGACAGTGGTGAAAATACAGTAAACCCTTTACAATCCGGCACGGCGGACCCTTAACGCCTTGCCCTTGTAGCGAACCCTTGTCCATGTCGCTGTTTGAACCCATGCAGAACTTCATACCGAACAGTTTGCGTTTATAACCAACTAAATCTCGTAGGATCGCATGTAAACCAAGTGCACCTATACTGTCATGGGTCACTTGCCAGTCATGACTTGATGCTTGTACAGTGTGAGTGCATTTCTGTTACAACAAACTTCGGCTATAAAGAACTAATTCTCCTGCACAATGGTGTCCGCTATATCAGGAGTCGACTGTGTCTTTCAATCATGGCCTTAGACCATCCAATTATGCCTGCCTACATACTTATAACACTTGTACAAATCTCCTGGAGTGGGAAGAAGGACGAGCGATTGGACACTCACCTTGTCTACTGCGTCGCGGAAAATACTGTTCTGAGGTGATCTCGTTTCATCCACACCCAACGCTAGACTGCGACGGCCTTCGCACAGCAGGGCTTGCATTGCACTGCTGGCTCCTCTCAGAACATCCCGACTGGGAACTGTACGCCGCCGATCATGGCCCTCGTATGACGCTCGCTCGGCGCGGGCTCTTCCATGTGTAGGTATACGGCGTGTTGGTCCGTCACTGCTACTCGTAGGGCTTGGTGTGTGCTGGCTGCTCCTGCCAGCTTCCGCCCTTTCATTCCCGTGCTCTGTGTGGCCTCCAAACACAGACACTGGGCCAGCAGTGGCGTTCACAAACGATGGCATCGCCTCCGCCGCTTCGTACAGAACCACCTGCTGCCACAGCAACCAGCGCATGGAATCCGACAGCCAGCTCCCGTGAAGACGGAGCCGCATGCGTGGCAACAGCCATGGCGATGCGGCGGTGCACGCCACGATGCCTCCTCCGGCAACGTCACTCTCCGATCGCTGCGGTGGGCGGCAGTGCTGCGTTGCGAGCGAGGTTTGAGCGTGAGTACTCTCGGCTTGCGTCGACTTTATTCCTGGGTCGTCGTCAACGCGAAATCTTGGCTCAGACGGTGTCGGATTCGCCCGCTCGGATTCAACTCTTGCCATTTCGTGATCTATCCAAGCAAGCGTAGTATCCTTACAGTGCTGTATTGTGCATGCCGCCATGTCGTGCAGAACATCAGATCTCACTGGCCTACCCTCCATGGTGGAGCTTGCTGTAGAGGCCGGGCATGAAGAATTGCTTTGCTCGCCAGAAGTGGACTGTGTTCGACTGCCGGATATAGGTGATGATCTTGGTCCGGCAGAGGTGTTGTCTCTACCCATGCGCATGCCATTCTGAATCGTGTTCACACAAGCTAGCAGCAGCTCTTCGGCCCGGTCCTCCAGATATGTTCGCCGATTCGTCGAGCATTTTGCCGGCCACTCACTCTGCAGAAGAGGAATTTGCATAACCACACAGTCGACATATCCACACAGTCGACATATGCACAAGAAGAAATGTCTGAGAAAAACTGCACGGACAAACAAATAGACGTGTGTGTGAGCACGCATGTACACGCGCGAACACACGCGCACGCACACACTTTCTATTGCCCCTGTGTACCGTAACCGTACAGGAAAGCAGCGGCATTCCGATCAATCCTCATGTCTGAATACTCCAATATTTGAACACATTCACACACATACACGAGCACACACCCTCAACTCGTGGTCTCTGGAATGCAGCCCCAAATTATTTGCCCCCCCCCCCCCCAACCCCACTGCCAGCCATTGTGTGGACACATACGTACTCTGATATGATTCTTATTATTATTAGGGAGGTTTCGCTCTACGTAATTACATATGAAAATCCGTATGTCGTATGCGCCGGGGAGCGAGGGCAACTTTCATACGTAAATCTCTCTACGGATTTTCGTAGGAAATCTCTTTCCTACGTTGGGTCCTCCGTAGGACTTTTGAAATATTTTTTCGCATTTTCCGCATTGGTCCATGGCAACGTTCAAGCCACGCAAGACACAAGGTACACACACCGTACACCACGTGCAAAGTAAAATGGAAACGTGGTTTCGGTTCATGGTGCATGCCGTGGGCGCATGCAGCCAACGCGTCTCCAAAGCAACAACGCATGTTAAGCAGTCGTGGAGAAATCACGTAGAGGGAAACCCAACAGCTCTGATTTTTACATATGAAAATTCCGTGCAGTTCCTATGTTATTTTCATACGTAATTCCGTAGAGCGAAACCTCCCTATTATAAGGAGGTTCTCCACGCTGGTATCAATGCAATGTAAATATACACGGTATATGCATAGCTATCCGCATAAGCCGAGGCGACAACAGCCAGACAGAATATTCATGTTGATATAAAACGTGTGACGGAAAAAGAAAGCGAACAACCGAACAGCTCAACCTTGAGTTGCATAACTCTTCTTACCTGCTCCAAGTGAGTAGACCACTGGGAAGCGCAGTACTGAGACACAAAGCGGTGGCCAAGCCGACGACACAGAACAGACGCCAAGCCTGGCTCTTCTCTCAGGCGAGGAGCGAGTTGTGCCGCAATGTGAGCACCGATGACCGGCTCCAGCTGGACACCACAAGAGAGGCAAACAAATGAGAATGACCCCAGGACCGGCGGAAAGAGTTTTTTTTTTGGTCCGGCCACACCCTAGCCTTTCATACTTTGTGTGTACTTTGTGTATGATATGGCAGGTAGACATGAGTTTTTATTCTTGCTTCAAAACATTTCAGTTAGAACGCTTGGAATAAATACATGGAGATGCCCATAGCAAAGTGGCGTAAAAGTAACACAAATCCTAATTTTGTATCCGGTTGCCATGGTAAATATAGCCAATTTCAATCGCAGTTTTCACCACCTTTCAGAAAGTTCTGAGAATGACAACAAGTGGTAGGGTGATCCACCCATGGCCCTCCGATCATATGAGCCAAAAAAATCGTGGTGCACCCAAGGTGGGAATGGGAAGTCACATGTTGCCCCCTTGGCTCCTGTACACATGACCTAACTAGCAGCAAACACATGTTGGTGTTCAAACAGTTGGTCCAGCCATGGCCTGACTAAGTTGACCGGTTCCGCCGGGTCTGTGATCTCAGGAAAGACAAATGGGCCAAATAGAACGCGTCCACGCTCCATGGTTATGCCGTAGATCTGGTGGTGGTTTGCGCAGCATTATTCGCATCGAATCGATGAGATCTTGTACAATTCCTGCTTTGGTTCTCTGCGGTTCACATTTACAGGTTTGCTGATGCGGTCTCTCTCTCTCTCTCTCTCTCTCTCTCTCTCTCTCTCTCTCTCTCTCTCTCTCTCTCTCTCTCTCTCTCTCTCTCTCTCTCTCTGTGTCTCTCTCTCTCTCTGTCTCTCTGTCTCTCTCTCTCTGTCTCTCTGTCTCTCTCTCTGTCTGTCTCTCTGTCTCTGTCTGTCTCTGTCTGTCTCTCTCTGTCTCTGTCTGTCTGTCTGTCTGTCTGTCTGTCTGTCTGTCTGTCTGTCTGTCTGTCTGTCTGTCTGTCTGTCTGTCTGTCTGTATGTCTCTCTCTCTCTCTCTCTCTCTCTCTCTCTCTCTCTCTCAGTCTGTCTCTACTTGTCTATCTGTGTGTGTCTACATGTGCCTGTCTGTCTGTCTGCATCTGTCTGTTTGTCTGTCTGTCTGTGTGTGTGCGTGTCTGTCCGTCTTTTCGTCTGTCTGTCTGAGTATAAGAGAAAAAGTGACTGGACCATTACACAGAAGGACAGAAGTGATTACGACTGAGTTGGTGTTGGCAACATACGGCTTCAGAAAGAATGATCTGTTGGTGGAGGGAAGCCACTGATCAATGGGAATGAGAAGCATGAGTGTGCAAATTGGCGCACTGTCATACTGTCTGTCTGCCTGTCTATCCGCATGTCTCTCTATTCACGTGCATGTGGGTGGGTGTGCCTGTGTGTCTCTCTGTCTGCCGCTGTCCTGATCAATGGATATAATTGATTGAGGATGGTTTGAGGGCAGCTGCAATGTGGGTCCATGCACGTGAAGCTATTGCGTGTTGCGATGCGTCCTCAAGTGCCAACACAAGTGTGAAAACAAGCAGTCCTTGGTCGTGTCACCCACCATCTCACTGACATTTTGCATGCCCTACTCCTACTAGGACTAGTCTGCCTTCCGTGAAACACGACAGCCAACAAACACAGCTAAAGTTACCCTGCACATTTACAGCTGTGGCCAGAGACATCAGACCCGTGAGCCAAAACCAGCGCCAAGGCTGCGCGGCCTGCGGGTGGGTTTTTGGACCGTTCATGGTGTAATCGAAACGCGGCGCTGCTTTCGACTCGAGGGTCGGAATTTTTTTCTTTTGACTCGAGGGTCGGAATTTTTTTCTTTTGACTCGCAGGTCGGATTTCTTTGCTTTTGACTCGAGGGTCGGATTTCTTTGGCCACTGTTGTAGATACCTGTTCATGCCATGCTGATCCGGGTAGGAGTGTTTCACTGCAAGCATTCTGCAGCCACTGATCTGCAGCCATGTCCTGTATACTTGACACGCGGCGGCGGCAGCTGCCTAGTCGGGGATGCTGGTAACCTTGGTAACTACTGTGGGTATGCTGGTGTTGCTACTGCCATCACTGCTGTTGCCATCTCAGTGTGTTGAGGTGTCAGTGGCAGTGCCTGCCGCTTCTGTTGCATGGGGTCTGTGTTACATAGACACATTCACGCACACATGCAAACACGTGCGAACACACACACACACACACACACACACACACATGCGCGCGCGCCCACACACACACACACACACGCACATGCTCATACTCCTGCCCATCGCTGAAGCGATGATAGTGAACAGCTATGTTAGACACAGCAACATGTGCTGGGATTACACCATTCGACAGCTTGCAAGGCTGATGAATTGACGGCCACTGATTTTAGCCTGGTCTACACCACACTGATTGCAGGGGCTTTTTCCGGCAGTGAACCCCTATTTCTCTTTTTTCTTTTTTTAAAACACACACACCACACCACATACTCTGGCATGAACTGGCTGTTGGTAACAACCCAGGAGAATGAGAAAGAGGAGAAAGACGTGTGCAATCATAATCTTCAGGGGCGTGGGAGGGGTTTTGGAAGTGGTACGACCGAAGGTGGGCGCGGCCGAAGGCCGTGTCGGAGGGGGTCCGGGGACCTCCCCCGGGGAAATTTTGTAAAAAAGACACAAAATCCTGCGTTCTGGGAACTTCTGGCACAGTTTATAAAGTCATAATTTCACGGTCAGAAGAGACGTGCATGGACATGCAGAGATGCATGGCAGATCTACGAGTACGAGTCTAGAAAAAGGTCAAAGTCTGATGCGCATATGCATCGATGGATCCTGATTTTTTTATTATGGTTTTGCACGTTCCGGACGGACCACACTTTTCGAAAAGTGGTACGGCCATGGTTGTACCAGTCGTAGCGGGTGCTACGCCCCTGATCTTAGAAAAGAAAAGAGAAAGGACCAAGGAACTACAAGTTACGCTATAACGTCCACTAACACCACCAGTTACGAAATAATCAGCTCATGCGATAACATTGCACGACACTGACCGGCGGTCCTGACGTTCTTCAACTAACTGGCTAACAGCTCTAGCACATCTTGGATGCGCACTCCAACAGCCTTCCAACTTGGAAGGTTCTAAGTTATATGATAGCAAAAGAGGGGAAGGTGAGCGCAACCAAGACAAGCACGAGCTGAAAGTCTCAGCAGTGAAGGACGTTGGCGGATGGTGGTGTCAGTGGGCATTATAGCGTAACTTGTAGTTCCTTGGTCCTTTTTCTTTTCTAGAAATCTATCCTTGGCTCTCCATGCGAGTCCACTCTTGCAACCATAATCGTCGGGAACCCGCAACCTCTCGATTGGAAATCAACTGCGCATACCACTGCCACATATGGGACACACACACACACACACACACACACACACACACACACACACACACAGTGACACACACATACACACACACACACAGTGACACACACAGTGGCACACACACACACACACACACACACACACACACACACACACACACACACACACACACACACACACACACACACGTAAGACATGCCACAGGTGACCATGTATATCTACCATTTTACTACTGTCGTGGACATGGAAATCCAGTCGATTGACTGGAGCCGGCGCCCTCAGCGCGTACAGAACGTTGTGCACAATCATGTTGATCTGATGCGACCAGTGCGCTAAAGCGCATGTACATTACATGCGTGTACTGCTTACCCACGGCTGCATGGCCAGCGTCCTGGGGCCGCTAGACGTGCGACCGGATTTCCACGTCCACGACAGTACTACTCGAGCCCTTATGTATTCGCCAGTCGCAACAAATCTGCAAAAATAATGATGCACTGGGTGTACGCTTCCAGATGTTCTATCTAATAACAACGCTAGCGGACACGATTTGAATGGAAGAGATCAATACTCAGGGCGATACACACAAGCTCATTCAGTGAGGTTACTAACCCGTGACTCAAGTTTCCTCCGTCCTCTCAAGCTTGTTCACTCCCAAATTTGTTCCTAAAACGACTGTGCATGGATCAATCATTCTTTGCGTCAACATCTGCGGAACGGTCGACGGGCGCCTAGCTCACTAAAAACCACGATTGAACAAGACCAATATTCCCTTTAATAAAAGGAATTTCATTCAAATCACTTTCCAAAAGTTGAAACATGCCATTTCTAGGCCTAGAGAGTAGAGGTCATGTCGTGAACTAGCGCTATAGCAGTAAGTACTTTATGCGAAACCATTCGCTAACTATTCTCTTCGAATCACTAGCAGCTCTGTGGCCGTACCCCGAGTTCAGAGTATTTACGAATGCAGATCTCAGACGAACAGTTTCGTCCGCTTCAGCCTTCAGGGCCATTCATTCCACATTTTTCAGTGCGACGTGAGGATGACAGCGATCATAACAATGTTGAATCATTCTAAAATCTGATAATAATCATCGCAGTGCATGTCACACGGATAGGGATATACGTGAAATTCGACTCCAACTCCCGCGTGCACGCGTGGTGCATGCAGAGGCCCTGCTCAATGGCTCAAATCAAAACTGTGTGGTTCAAAGACAAAGGTACGGGTTTGAGTCACCATGGTCACTAAGCTCTACAAAGTTGTTGTAGTGCTGGATGTACTGACTGTCGTGGACATGGAAATCCAGTCGATTGACCGGGGCCGGCGCCCTCAGGCTCAGCTCGTACAGAACAGCGCTTGATCCGATGCGACCAGCGCGCTGCAGCATGTTTGTACATGCTTACCCACGGCTGCATGGCCAGCGCCCTGGGCCTGGGGCCGCTAGACGTGCGACCGGATTTCCATGTCCACGTTAGTAGATCTACAAAAATATGTAATGTAAATCCGAACGTAGAAGGGCGTCAGCTTGGACCGCGGCTGCAAGAAAAGAGCTAGCAGAAGAAGCAGCAGCAACCGCATCATCAGCAGCTGTGTGCGGCGGTATATCTACTTCGTAGACGTGTGAGGATGTTGAGGTTGTGCTGGGGGTTCAGACCTACAACACAGGCTACTGGCTACTGCAGCCATCAACTCAGTACAATGATCATGTCAAGTAAAATTGTAAATAATTCATTTCATGCACACACACACACACACACACACACACACACACCGTCACGCGCGCGCGCGCACATGCCCATCTTCAGTCTTTCCCCGGCATTCTTCTATGACTCCAGACCTTGGACTGCCATGAGGGCAGATAATAAGCGCATAGTAGTACATGCACAACAGACACAGTCAGTACACCAGTGCAGCAAGGCTAATTTGTTACAGCTCTGAATTTAATGCTCAGCGAAATCAAACATGTCGACTTAGTTTGAACATCAGCTATCGGCGATTCGCCACGCACGAACTTCAAAGTTCTACTGGCACTTCTTGCTGGGATTTTAGTTCAAGGACGAAAATATATAATGCTATAGCCGAATCAGCTTGCTGTCTCCAGAATTGGGTAATAAAGTCTTGCCAAAAATGTCTAAAAATTCTCAATTGAGCGATACCGTTGTGCAGTATTGTTCTTGGCAAGGTCAAGATCAACTCAATCAAGTTTAGAAGTAATCGTAAATTTTAGTTCATCATTCCTCGGTGCATGGCAGTGCAGAGGTGCGGAGGTTTAGCAGTGACCATGACTTTCGTGTGCTGCACTGCACGACACGTTACTCCGCCATGGGTTTGTGCGACGCTCTGTCATGTCATTGCATGCCATGTGGCAAGTTCTGCACGCGTCTAGAGCGCGGTATGACCAACATGCGTCATGGAATTGTGGGGGAGATGCGGGTGTGCGCGCACGCGGGCACTTGTGTGTATTGAAAGGATGCGGTTGAGGTGGGGCACAGACACTTGCTGAAAGCCACATACACACACACACACACACACACACACACACACACGCACACTCAGCATAGTTTCACGCAAGAAAGGTTGTAGAGCCTGTACATGAACACCATGGCACGCAGGCACTGACATCCATCCGCCGACACTCCGTGGATGGTAGCCGTCTTGCCGGTACGTTCCTGGTGTAGCTTAAGAGTGCTCTGGTCACAATCTAATGTAAGTGTTAGCACGCCAGATGTGACTTGTTCTCCCTCATCAATAGCAGCACCAGACTTCCGGGTCCTTCCGCCGTGAGAGGAACCGTTGGAGTACCACCCGTACCAGTCTGCGTCACGTGGCTCGGTTTCGTAGCTGGCCATAGGGCCACGGTACTTGAAAACTCCGATGGCGCACGACACATCGTGTACCTGTAGCTTCCATGTGTAGGTACCCCGCACGTACGGCTTAGCTCCAAGGACGATTGCCCGCTTCCACCTATTGTCGGGCTTGTGAACTGCGACTTGGTTGCCGTCCTCTAACTGAATACACCTTGCGCAAGCATTTGAATCAAAGCGTTGCGGCTCAGTGAAAATGTATTCCTTCCACAGCGCCTTTCCAGCGCCGACACGGAATGCATAACAACCATCTTCGTCGGGACTAAGCGAAGCTCCCAGTTTGTCGCGAAGCCGTCGATTGTACTCAGCCTGTAGTCGCCGCACTTTTCCATCAGGATACCGACATTGAACATAGACACGTGACTGCTTGAGAGCGTGCCATGGAATATTGGCCTGGCCCATCTTAATTTCTATAGTGAGCTCCCGGCCTCCATCACTCAGTGTCAGTTCGCCGATAGTGCATTGTGCAGGATCTATGGCGTAATCGTGCACAGAGATCGCTTTGCCGGCGGCCACGCGAATGCTGTTCACTGCTGCGGCAGTTGTTGCTGTGTCGACATGTAGCAGTGTTTGTACACATGCACTCTGCTCGTCCTCCCAGGCTTTGCGGAGTTGTTCTGCATGCTCGACTAGCTTGCCGGCAAGGTGAATGACGTCAACTGAAGATGCACGTGGACTTTGCACTTGGGTTGCGATACGCTTGATGGTTAAACCCTCTCCATCGTGCCTTTCCAAGACTTTGCGTTTGAGACGCAAGCGACCCTCTTTCGAACGGCAGATCTTGTCAATTTTATTTAGCGCTGCTTGCTCGCGTTCTTCAAGAGCAGAGCGCAGTTTCCGAAAAGCCCGGCTCACGCTCTCTGACGCCGTTTCCTCTTGCTCCACAATATCACCCAGATTGGTATCGATCTCACTCAGTACATCACTCACTCGCAGAGATCCTCCGCCGGGACGTGCTGAGCGACTCAATCCTGGAACAAGGACAGCGGGGATGGCACTTGCAGCAGTCAACGCGGCCGCATGATCAGCAGCAACAGCAGCAGGAGGGGCTTCTTCTAAACACTGAGCATCCGTAGCGGAGTACGCAGACAGCCACTTCGGAATACTCTCCAGCTTGCGAGACTTCTCCCTGGCCACGTCCTGGCAGCTTAGTACCGTGTGGCCCTTGTTGTGTCCAGACGTTTTGCACAACTCGCACAGGAGAACGTGGCATGACTCGCACCACCAGACCAACGGTCGACTGCAGTGTATCTGGCACAGCTGTTCGCTGACCCGGACTTCCTCCTGCTCCTGGCTTTGGTCCGATGGTGGCTGGTGCACAAGATCTCGCGGACGATGCGACACTCCGCCACGTGCACGCGAGGCATGCTTCGTCGCGTGCTCGTGGCAAAATAGCGTTGGCGACGCGCAATCTTCACAAACAGACACTGCCGCTTCTTCACAGGCAATGCAAATTTTCTCGTGATCATCCTCGATAGTTTCTTTACTGGGGTACAGAAATCGCTCGGCCAGTGGGAGACTTTTGCGTAGGTCCCATTCGCCCGCACCGGCTGACTTCGTTATTTTGCCGCAGCGCTGGCATCTAATTTGGTTATTGGCATCAAGTGATTCGTCCAGACAGCGGCCCCCGCACAGAACGTGCAGGCAGTGCAGCAGTCTACCAGCTCTTGGCTCTCTGCAGCCGCACTTCACGCACGACGACGCTGCCTCGTTCATCGTTGAGCTCCTGTCGGATCGCGGAGTATCCTCAGCCTGTGAGTGAGATTGCACGGATGACAATGAATGATCGGACCAGCTTGCTGAAGCTCGGGAGCCGAGCCGATCGACAGACGGACTACTCCCTCAATGAGTTGTTCTGCTACCGCCGGGTCCTTGTCTGGAGCAAAAACTAGAGTACCGTCACCTGGTCACCTGCATGCACTGGCTACAGCAGTGCAGAGTACGCCGCCAGCATTCAGTACAGGCTACACTTAGGGCTTGAAAGTGATGACGTCAAAAACGGCCTGGGAGTAGTAAATTGACATCAGATTTCTATTTTGGATCCACTAAGGTGTGACTTTGCTATTGCCCCAGTATATGGGTGCATAGCAACCCACTCATGTCGTATGCAGGTGCAACTTTTACTTCGCCACCAGTTGTCACCCCGCCCCCACTAGCCAAATCAGTCAGTTTCACTGGCAACATCACCTTGCTGTGAGTGAGACCGCTTGAAATGTGCTTGGATCCATACAAAAACTGGATCCAGGTGGATCCAGTTTTCGAATTTTTCAAATAGACCAATCCCGAAAAGATTGTCTGGGTTCGAAAGGGGGCATGTCAACTGAGAGTACACTGTACAACACATACATGGCACTACCTGATCAGCATGCGGCACAGGACGTGTTTGATAGTTCGCGTGTGAATGCGAGGGTAAGTACACGGTTTTCTCGTTAGTTGCATGCAAGAGAGACGATGCGACAGAAAGCAAAGCCCTTTGTAGTTTTCTCTCTCGCACTGGTAATGGTCTGCTGTTGGAGTGGAAATGCTAAGACATAATCCTTGTTCCGCTCTTCTGTGTAGTGTGAAGAGGGCAACGAACATGTAGAGCTCACTTTGATGAAGTAGGCAAGGCTGTGAGCGCTGTGGCTCAAAGCGATAGGCCCTAAATCTTACGAGATATTTCGAGTGCTATTGTTTGTTGCGAGCGCTTCGTCTTCGATGAGTCCTGCCTCTTTCCTGGCAGCTGCCCTCCTATAGGATCAACCACGAAGTGACTGTACTCATCTGCAGCCGATCAATGTTATATTGCACAAGAAGATATCGTTTTCGCCAAGCCAGTGCCCCGCCAAAGACCATCGCCGTGTCACACCGTCGGAACGAGTTCATGATGAGAAACATCATTCGCGCGAGCGTGATGAAGAACTTTCGAAAGACAACATAGTCTTTACCCCCGGGACGACAACTATGTGCACGTCCTGCAAGGGGAGAATGTCACCAGCGACATCAACGAAGACGACGGCAGTATTTCAGAAACCTGGAGTCAGCGGAGGTCGTCAAGCTCCTCCGCGACCCGGTACATGTACAGTATACATGGTATAGGTGACATGTCGACACGAGCGTGCGGAAACACTGCATACACTGTAGTAATGTTGCGAGAGTTTGCGGAAGGAGTCCAAG